CCCCAAAACCCCAAAACCCCAAAACCCCAAAACCCCTAGCCAAGTCCTAAAATTTAAAATATTTTACCTAAAAACTACCAAAATGGACATCCATAGAGACTTAAGCGATATTACTGACTCTCAGGAGAAACAGTGAATACTGATATCTAATTCTATTAAGAGACAGAAGGCATTTGCTAAGAAGAGGAAGAGGAGAGGAATCCCTGAAAAGGAACCAACCAAGGTTAAGTATTATAGAGTTGCTGGTGCTTCGAGTACTAGTGCTTCTTTTATCCAACCCAGCAGGAATATTCAGGCTTTTGGGACGAAGGAAGAAAATTCAATGGGGCTTAATTATAGTTATAATCAGGAACCTGACTATCAAAAGCCTATTTTTGATGAGTATGCTAATAAGTTACGGAATTTAAAATATTCAGAAGAGCCTGAATATTCTTTTAAAAAACAAGTCCATGATAATCCTTACCATGGTGAAGAGAGGATCCCTTCAAGAGGTTCTCAGCCAGGTATTATCTTATTCGTGTAATTCTATAGAGCCTGAAATCAGTAGAGCCAAAGAATTTCAAGTATTTGGAGATCAATCTAGAGATAATAATGCATATTCTGGATCTTATAAACAGCCTTACCCAGCTCATCATAAACCTTTATCCGCAAATAGAATAAATCGGAATAAGAAATCTCAAATGCAATACGAAAACCCTGATAATGATAATCAAGGATTTGGAAATTTCGGAAGTTTAGAAGGAACACAGCAGATAAAACTCAGCAAACAGAAGAAAAGAAATGATTTTGTTGCAAGTCTTGAAGAACAAATTCGTCTCAAAAGTGAAAGACAAAGGAAAGAGAAGGAGGCTGAAAACAATTATTCCTTCCCTCCCCAACCTTCCTCTAGTCACTCTCGTCGTAGTCACCCCACTCAACCCACTTCTCAGCATGCCGACTACCCTCCTCCTTCCTCAAGCCACTCCCGTCGAAACCAGAACCAATCTAGCATTCCTAGCTACGATCAGCTAGAGTCCAATCCTTATAGCAACAATTCCTTACCAGGCATGGAGGACAGGTAACTAATCCGTCTCACCTTGTTATTAATAATTCCTATGTTGAATAAGGTTAGAAAGGCATGTAGATAAACTATTTGCGGAAGATCATCAATACCTTCGTGAGCTTATCACCTGGGCACTTTCATGGTATTTACAGTCTTTGTTCCGCCTAGAATAGCCACTTGGCTTCATATCAATGGTATTACCCAAATTCAAGGGCTTAATGAAATAGAAAATTAAGTACTTTTCTGTTGTTGTATCCCAAAATGTCTCAGAAGTGTTGGTCTGCTGTATCTTTCAGTCAGTCTGAGACTTTCTCCAAAAAACCTTCAAGGAGGCTTGCTACACCATTGTCTGAACAGTTTCAACTCTTCTTTTAGTTTGGCATTGCAGACTCTCAGTAAAGCTTCTAATGGCATGAGTACATCAGGGCATAGAGCTCCCTCCTCTGTTTGGCAAAATCCTTTGGTGTATTTCAGTTTATTGGAGCAGTATCCTGTCCCATATTCAGCTTTCTCTATATTTTCTTAGAAGGAAAAGTAACAAGATTTCCAGAATATCTCCTTCATCTACTATCCCCTAAGCACCTTCTATAGAGAGAAACAGAACAAAATGGACCGAGTCAGTAAGCAAAAACAAATGCTTCTCGAACAAATCGAAGAGCAGAAGAGAAAGAAAGAGGAAGAGAAACGAAGACGCCAACAGGAAGAACTTGAAGAAGAACAGAGGATTAAGAAGGAAATTGAAGTCTTGAATATGAGGGAAAGAGGAGAACATGAGACTAAGAAGAATAAGCAGAAGGAATTTAGGGATATGCTTGACCAGGAGACAGAGAAGAGGAGCAAGAAGGAGCCAAATAGGGATTTGGAAGGAAGTAGGGGGACTATGGGGAGAAAGGAAAGGAATGAAATGCCAAGAAGAGTGAATGATGTACCTCCTGAGTTTCAAGATCTTGCTCAAAATGTTGAGCAGAAGTTAACTACGAATTATTCTTCAATTCCTAAAGGAAAAGAAATGTTTAATAAAGAGTTTAAAGGGACTAATACGCAACGATTAAATGAAATTCAGCTGAAGTTTCAGAACGAAATAGCTGGGCTAGAGGGGCAGCTTAAGAAGGTACAGGATGAATTAAGAAATAAAGTAAAATCAGAACAAGAATTAGTTCAGCTTAAGCAGGAAATGAAGACAAGAGAAAGCCAATCAAATCAACAACAAAGTAGGTTACAAGAACAGTTGATTGAATTAATGAAGGGCTATCAACAGCAGATTACCTATCTGACCAAGATGAGAGATCAATCAGGCCCTCAGCCTTTCGATAGGCCTGGCTCTAACAGATCAATAGGGGGTAAAGCAAATACTCGTGGACAAGAGCTTAATAATTATGAAAAGATGCTTTTCACGAATTCATCTAAACCCCCAGTTCCTAACTATGGAAGTTCCAACGTGGTGATCGACTTTAATAATCCCTCTGACAAACCATATGTCAAACCTTATGAGAACAACAACATGAGCGGAGGAAATCTTGATCCATTTAGCAATCAGGATTTTGTTGATCTAGATAAATCAGCTTCTCTAAACGCACAGAGTAAAATGGTGCCAGTCTCAGTAGAGAAAAAGAAACCTCCAAGACCTGAGAAGAAGACATATGATTATACTCCTAAATCTCTTGAAGGAACCAATGAGCTTGGAGGAACAAATGGGAGCACCAACAGAAGGCTTAATAAGGAACTAGATGAGATTGAAAAGATGAACTTGATGAATCAGGAAGAATTTCCTGGTTCTCTGAGAGGAACTGGAAATTTCGACGATACCCAGGTGAACCATCCTCCTGTATCCCAAGAGATACTTCCAGACGATGTTGAGTCATTAAGGAATACTTCTAATTTTGAAGCCCTTCCTCCTCAAGAAAATGAGAAAGATAACCTTGGAAACTCTTTTGAAGGAACTGGCACTATGAAGGTTAATAGTAAAGAATTGTCAGATAATAGCTTTAAAAATGGATCTAGCAAACTCGAAAAATTCGAAGGATTTCCAGAACTACCTGAGTATGAAGGAATTCAAAAAGATTACATTGCCACTATAAAATCTCGAGGTTCTAATCAAGATAATCAAAATGATTTTGGAGATCCACTCGAAGGAACAGCAGGAACTGCCGGAACAGGAAAATCCATTGATTTTGATGAACTCCAAGAGAAATTAGCACAGAAGATAGGACCCTCACCAAACAAGCCATCTGAAGAGCCTCCAAGGCAAGAGAGAAAAAGGTGGGGAAAGCCTAAAGATCTTCCTATTGTCCCAACAGAAGATAGAGTCCCTCCTGTTAACAACCAAACAGACGGTATTGATGATCTTTTAGAGCAATTTTCTAACAAAGAGTCACAACACAATGATGTTCCTGTCTATGAGTCAGAACCAGATACTCTCAAAAGGTATTCAGACGACCACATAGCTCCAGAAAAATACCAACCAAAGATGGAAAGTATTCTTGAGCAAAGTAATGAGTTCACTAAATCTGGAGAAAATGACCTTCTCTCCAAGTCTGAGAGGAAACTCATTGAACAAGAGCTTAAGAGGGCAAAGGGCGAAGAATAACCAGTAATTAACATTTATAATTCATCTGCTGTTCAATAAGGATTTCATCAAGAGGGGTTTTGGGGTTTTGGGGTTTTGGGGTTTTGGGG